TTGTACTTAAAAGTAGTGTTTTGATCGTAAGAATTAAAATAGAAACGAATTATAAACTATAGGAATGAAAACCGTAATTTTAAATCTACAAGAATAAAATCACAATTTATCAAACCATAAGGATGAAAAACGTAATTTACCCTAATTTTGTATATTCGTTTGAAACTTGTGTCACAATTAAAATTGCATGTGCAAACAATTGGCTGGTATTATTAAAATCATAAAAGTTATTTATACCATATTATGTAAGAGTAATCGTACAATGCAGTAAGATATATTTTGATTTTAATGTTATGTTTTATTCTTTTTCCTGTAGATGTTATAATATGGTTTTATATGATTTTGAGAAAAAATCGTAATATTTTTATTTTTGAATAAAATATAAATTTGATGATATCTTAAAATTTTAAAAAAAATATCGATATTAGCATCAAATTAACTATTTAAACGTTCTTTTGTTGTATAATTTCTTTAATTCAATTCTTTTATTATAATTTAATTTAGATTTAATAAAGAAATAATTTATTTTTGATTTAATAATATAATTTTTTATAAAGATAATAATTAAGTATTTTGTTATAACATAATGATTATCCTAATTATATTTTAGATTTTTTATATTTAAAATGAAATGTTTATTCAGTATTTGATTATGTTTATCTGCAGTTAGTTACACGAATTCAAGCATGAAGTTTTAATAAGTTATACTTATGCATTATCTTTACTTATAATGTTGAATTTAGTAATATGCATCAATAAACAGTACTTTATGTATAAATAATTGTTTTTTAGAGTTTTTATCGAATGCTTTAATTAAATTTGAAGATATCTTAAAATTTTAAAAAAATATCGATATTAATATCAAATTAATTATTTAAAAGTTCTTGTTAGTTGAGTAATTTCTTTAATTCAAAATTTTTAATTATAATTTTAATTTAGGTTTAATAATAAAGTAATTTATTTTTGATTTAATAAATTCATGTAACTAAATACAGATAAACATAATCAAATATTGTATAACTATCTCATTTTAAATATAAAAAATCTAAAATATATTTATGATAATCATTGAATTCTAACAAAATACTAATTATTATTTTTATAAAAATGTTATATTATTATACCAAAAATAAATGACTTCATTATTAAGTTTAAATTAAATTATAATAAAAAATTGAATTAAATAAATTACACAAAAAAAAGAACTTTTAAATATTTAATTTGATACTAAAATCGATATTTTTTTTTCAAAATCTTATGATACCTTCAAATTTATATTTTATTCAAATAATAAAAATATTATCGTTTTTCAATACCACATAAAATCGTATTATAACATTGACAGAGACAAAATAAAACAAAACATTAAAATTAAAATGTACCATGTTGCATTGCACGAGTACCCTTCGAATTATATTAAAAGCTTTAAATTAAGAAATTATAAAACTTAAAATTATAAACAAACTTTTAAAACATTTTCATTTTAACGATTGAAACAGACCTTTCATTTATTTAAGAAACTCGCTTATTTGATCAAAAATTTCTACCAACACTATAAAATAAAGAGAATTCACCGACGGGAACATCTGTAGGTTATCCATCGGAAAAGCCATCCTGGGTGTCTCATCGCCAAAGAGAAAATGTGGCCGTAATCATGATTATCGACGGATTCTCAAAGAAAAACTCCATCGGTAATCTGACGAAAAAAAACCATCATCGACAGATCTCATCGTCCAAGAAAATATAGCCAGTGATCTCTATTACCGGCGAATTCTCGATCATTGACAGAAAAATTCGCCTCTAATCCGTCGATAATTCGTCACAGATCTGTTGATCATCTGTGACATATATGTCGGTAAACCCTAGTTGTTTTATAGTATGACTACTTTATCTATACTACCTTATTAAGCAAACTTACCAAAAGTCTTAAAGTCTTAAAATTTTAAAAGACCAAAATACCTTTATCTATACTACTACTTTTCACCCCTTTACTTGGCTACCCTCCCAAGCTTGATGTACAACATTAAAAACTCTATTTACAACTTCACAGAACATCCTCTCAATTTCTATCCCTGACAATTCACAGTTCCAATGTGATGGTTCAAAGTCCCATGCTCTCATTGACGTCAATTCAAGCTTTCTTCCCTTCCCAGACGTCGATTCAAGCTTGCTTCCTTCTTGAATCCTCAGCCGAAGGACTTCAAATTGTTTCTTTCTTCCTACTTAAACCCTAATTTCTTCTTCTTAAACCCTAATTTCTTCCTTCGTTTGTGGGTCGGTGGCGGCATAAGGGAGTGGTGGTGGTGGCATATCTTGAACTCTTCTTTTTGAAACCCTTCAAAAGGTTTATAATCCTTCTCCTCTCACATATTTTGTTCTTCGTTTGTGGTTTTTTTTTTCCCGATTGTAAGGTTTATAATTCTTCTCTCTCCCATATTTTATTTTTAGTGATATAAATGGTTGGATTTCATTACTCAATGCAGGTAATCCATTTGAGGGTAAAACCCATTCATCTCGACAATCATGTGTGAGCTCACTTCACCAGGTAAAGTGATTGCATTATCATCTGCTTTCTAAGGTTAGAACACGCAATTTTTGGTTTGCTTTAAATTTAGGTTTTAATTCGGGTAAAATTTTATCTTTGTTGGCTGAAATTGTTGTACTTATCAGACTTTTTTGAACTTATTTAAATGTTGTTAGTTTTTTATTTGTTTTGATTTATGGTTTTTGGTGAATTCGGTTTGAAGTCATGAGAATGTCACCTATCGTTGTTTTGAAATGATAAGAAGCTGAACATGGCTGTTTGAGTTATTAGTTCGTCCACTTCTTTTGGTTTGAGATTATGTGATGCTGGAATTGATTTGATAACTTCTTTAAAGGTTAATTTGATAAATTCCTTGTTCCTCACTTAGAAATGGACAAATACAGGCATCAATTCGCATTATTGGTAAACCAAAAAATCACCAAGAAACTTTTATGCAGTTTCCTACCATCCTGGGGCAGTCCCGTTGTCATGTGTACATTGAGAATGAGATTTGGTTTGCATAACTTTAATGCCTAATTCTGTTTACACTGTGTTCTCGAATCAATCTGTTTATATGTGGTTTTTTTATTTTGTTTTGCACTTTCTTTGTTGGTGTAATTTTTTTGGTGTAAATTGGATCTTTTTTTATTTATTTGGTTTTGCACAGTAATTTCATTGTAAGATTAAATTAATGGGTTTTAAAGGAAAATATATAATATGAGAATGGTGATTAATAAAACTAATTGGTTCATGGAGATTTTGTTCATCCACAAACTAATTGGGGGTTTGTGGGGAGAAAAAGAGAAAGAAATCAGGGTGTGAGAAAAAAATTGTTCAACTTCTTATTTAACACAGAGCATGAGACATGCCTTCTGTTGACTACTTTCTTTCTTTCTTTTCTCTCTCCCACTCTCTCTGCCCACATTCTACATTCCTCTTAACTTTCCACACTCACTCTTTTACTCATTCCAACCTTTTCTCTTTCTTCCCAAATTTTCTAACCCATGTTTTATCCAAGACCTTCTTTTCAATATCTAGAATATGGGCTTCAAAACCAGGTATCTATTCTTCATCTTCTTTTTCATATGCGTTTCTTGCAGAAACGAAGCTATTTTGTGTTGATTTCATATGGTTTCTTGTTGATTCTGTGTCAGTTTTTGTTCTTCTGAGACAATTTAATTCATTTGTGTGAGTTGTTATGTACATTTCTTTTTATCTTTTTCCTGTAAATTGGTTTTCAAGATTCAATGATGGGTTGCAAAAAATGGGAATCTTGTCATTAGTAGGCTTATTGTCCCCGAGTAAGCACAATACAAATCAAGCCAATCCCAAATATATTAATAACTAAAGCATAATTGTTGCATAAGTCGATTATTACATACATGACAAGCAAGTCCTATTAATTTGTGTCTCTCCAACAAACAGGCCCTTAGTGTTCCTTAGGCCTTAGCAAATGATGTCTACATTTGTATGCTTACTAAAAAATGATACTTGTATCGACATGGATCCTTTGCATTTATCTTAAGTACAATTTGTTCCGGTTTTGAAGTTGGTTTCCAGATTTTTCTGTCAAGTTTGTCTTGATTGATAATTTGATATATATGCTCTAACCATGATCAAATCGATGATTCTCAGTAGCAAAGCGTAGAGTTGAGAATGAAACTTTCCAGTTCTGGCTTACATGGTTGCAAATCATTAGCATAGAGGGATATGTGTCATAATGCATTGCAACTGTTTTATTCAAAGATGTATAAATTTAATTCAACTATTCATTGTGGTTGGCAATATATAGATATGTGCCATAGTGCATTGCAGCTGTTACTTCGAAAGGGGATAATTTAGAAACGAATCTTCACTGTTGTTTGGTGAAGGTTTTTGTTTATTACCAAATCTTTTAGTTCTAACATCTYTCAAATCTCAACTTTAACTATTTCTTATAAGGGTTGTGTGATATGTTCCCTAATAATCAAACAGGCTATGTGAAGTTCTGATCTCATCATGTAAATACTTTTTAGGAGTTATATTGATGAATTAAATCTATTAAAGAAGTGTATCATTGTATGCTCTCTAGGAGTTATACTTCTTAATATTGTGATTTGATCAATTCTTACTACTTCAAAGTAAAGCTCCTTTCAGTGTTCAAAATTAACTTGGTTGTTATCATAGGTATGACAGAGAAGAAGACACTACTCTGTTTGATGCTAACAGCTCATCATTTTATCTTGGCGATGTGGCATCTGTCTGAAAGAAATAAGAAGAGGTTACAAAACGCCTGGTATGTGTATTGTGTGTTAAAGGTAATTTGTGTATAAAGATATATCTTTTGCTATTAACTCATTGTATTCAAGTAAGAACATCCTAAACATGCTAGAGTCTTTTCCTTAACCAGATTGACCGCATTGCTTGTATTGCATTTGAGACGTCTCGTAAGCGCAGTGGCAAACCTTGTTCTGTTGACAAAGCAAATGTCCATGGTTATGCTCCTGATATTGCTGGGCAGGTAGTTAATTAATGTTTGAAATTATAAATGGGTTTCTTTAATTAATGATTTAAATTGATTGTTTAGGATAAAGCAAACCCCTTGGCAACCATACTAAGTGCTGCAATGCTTTTGAAATATGGTCTGGGTGAAGTGAAGGTAGCTGAGAGGATCGAATTGGCTGTGCTAATACTTTAAATGAGGTATTTCGTACGGGTGAAATTACTCAGCTGGTCATGTATGTACCTGCTTCCTCAACACTAACCAATGCAACTAGGAGCTTCAACTTGACTTGATATAAATCAAATGAGTGCTTAAAATCATTTGAAAAAAGAAGTTAAGTTCATAGGTTGGATGGAGTGATGGAACAACCTGTTTCTGAAATGCAAGGAAACATTAAACTTTATAATACATTGAAAAGCTTTCATTATTCACATCAAAAGACCCATAGATGTATAAAATACCAATTCCCTGCTGTGATATTACAGCTAAAATGAGGATTCCAAGTTAATTCTTGATTTTGAAACCTATTGTAATGCAGAAATTGGTTGGATGCAAGGAGATGGGTGAACAACGGGGCTGTGGAAGGCGACCCCTAATGTCCATATGGAACTCAAGACATATTGTTGATGGCTTTAATGATGTTTGTAGGTGTTGTACATATGGAACCCAAGACATATTTTAGTGGTTTATGAAATGTATCCATATGCATATGTATATTTGACAGTCATAGGGAATAGGTGTTTGATTAAATCATGTCATTAATTTTGTGTTGGGTTTTGTATCAAATTAAATCATGTCACTAATGATGAATTAAGTCTCTTTTTGTGTTGGGTTTTGAAATATTTGTTAGGGTGGCGAGTTAAGTCTCAGTCAAAAGATATTCCTCATCTTGAATTAAGTCTCATTATTTTTGTAAAATTAGGTCTTGTTTGATTTTGTAATTTGTTAGTCATGTTGAATAAAAATTCACTTAGGATTAGGAATGACCCAAAAAAATTTATTTAAAATACCGTACCTTCAATGTTTGTAACTTATTTTAGATGTATTGTCTTAAAAAGGATTGTTGATAAGATTTATTATTCAACAGATAATGGTCACTTTGAATCTTATTCTTTACACACATAATTACAATTATAAAGCAGTATCGATGTAAAAGATTTGTTTTTTACAGATGATTGCAGAAGCTACTAATACTAGCATTTCACATGGATGGTTATTTGAATCTAACATAGGTACAAATGTTGTAGGCTTATCACCTCTTGAAAGAGTTTGATATTTCAAAATTGAATAAATCTTAACAAACCTTTACATCCTGCGGCATTGCGCGGGAAGTTGAATGTAGATCCTGATGGAATTTTTTACATCTTTTCAAATATATATCCTGATAGAACCAATACAAATTTTTATCCGTAATCGATATTGTCCATTTACATCTTTTCAAAATTTCACATCCCACCACATTGCGCGGGTATACAACTAGTATACAATTAAATCTGTATGTTCATACTCAACTACGATGCAATTAATTTTTATTGGAAGAAGTGTCCCATACTTTAAATATATTATCTTTACAAGATCTATTGGGTTATTTAAAACCATTTATTCGCTTGTCGAAATCCTATAAAAAAGCAATAGAAAGCTACTCAGCTGCCGATTAAGCCAACTTAACGAGAAGTAGCCATGGGAGTAGAAAACATCCTCCACATGAATACAGGCAATGGAGAATTAAGCTATGCCAAAAACTCATTGCTACAGGTCTCTCTTACTCTCTATCATTACTCATATAGATTGAAAAATCGGTTGTCTTAATAACTGTGACTCAAGTGACGGTGTCATTTCTTTTCCATCAGGAAATAGCGATACGAAAAACGATGCCGGTTTTAAAGCATACGATCAAATCTATGGCTGATCTTGACGTCACTATCTTCAGCCACTGTTTTAAGATAGCGGATTTGGGATGCTCATCGGGCACAAATACGCTGTTGGTTGCAAGGATCATTATCGATATAGTCGATGAGGCGTGTAAAGAAAATGATCGTAAGGCACCACAATTTCAAGTGTGCTTAAATGACCTTTATGGTAATGATTTCA